TCCCTTCACCCCCGAGCCCGCTTGTGCAGTGCACTGCGTGTGCATTCTCCCGGGAATCCAGGTCGGTAGGTTCCCTGCTCTGTCTGGGGTCCTCAGCTGTGAGATGCTGTGGGGAGATTTGTAATCAAGGCTTCATCTCAGGAGAGTCTGTATCACGAGACTGCGTGTCTGCCAGGTATTCCTTCATCACTTTCTTGATTTTCGAGTAGGACCTCGCTATGTGGTCCAGGCTGGCCTCCAGCTCTGGGTGACCTTCCTGCCTCAGCCTCCTGAGTGCTGAGATCCAAGGCGTGCGCCACCATCCCCTGGTCCTTCCTTCTACTGAGGAGCTGGACGGGCCCCTCCTCCACCGCCACTAGACGGCACAGCTGGGACTGACCGCGTCTGTCCCGCAGGCACCCCGACTTTCCACACGCCCCGTGGATCTCCCTAAGGCTCAGTACCCACCGCCCTAGTGAGAGCTCCAGGCGCCAGGCCAGCCCACGCCGAGCCTGACTCCCGATCTCCTGGGCAGCGCGCAGGGAGCCACCGGGGGCGTCACGGATCTGCCCCTCCCAGCCCGCAGGACACGGGACTCCAGCCGGCGTCCTCACCCCTCTCCCGGCTCCCGGCGCGGGCCCCAGGGATCCCGAGTGGGTGCCACCCGCACCCCGTCCTCCAGGGAGGGGACGGCTCGTGGGGTTCAGGCCTCCCAGGGCGCCAGGCCCCTCGCAGCCACCGTGTGCCTCCTGGAGGCACCGAGTGCAGCACCGCGCAGGGCTCAGTCAGCACCGGGACCGGGTCGTCCCGTCCCCACGCTTGGGGTTCCTGCCTCAAACTCGGTCTCGGGTTTCCAGTCTGAAACAAAAGGGCAGGAACGCGTGTCAAAAGAACAATGACCATGTTTACAAAACTTTCTGATTCCTCACACAAAGCACTGTTTATTTTTACAAAGTTTAAAAATAGAACCCTAGTGTCCCGGAGTCAGGTAAGTCCGACTTCACTCACTCAGAGGGGAAAAGTTCCAGCCTCAGGGTCGCTGGACAGCAGGCACCAGACACCCAGGAGCTCAGTCCGACAGGAGGAAGATGCTCCGGGCGGGGCGGGGTGCCCGGCCCTGCGGAAGGAAGCTGCCCAGTCCTTGGATTTCAACGAGGTCCCACGCAGCCTCCCCAGGGCGGCGCTGACCACAGGATTTCAGGCGTGTTCTCTCAGGTAAGGATGCATGTGGAAATAAAATTTACTTTCTTGCATGTTTCCTCAAAACAGTAAAAACTGGAGTTTTGGAATCACACACATTTGCAAATGGAGAAAATTCGAGTAGATGTGAGAATGTCTGCAGATTTTCCCCATCATTCCTACTTAACTGACGCTTTAAGAAGAAGAAAACTTTCAAACTACAATAAATGAGATTCTCCAAATGAAAGAAAAGCACAAGGCTCTTCTAGAAAGTTGGCTTTCTCAAAAACATCTCATAGAGATATAGTAGGATAAGAAGAGCCTCCACTGGGCTAATGACGCTCTATTTATTTGTTTGTTTGTTTGAGACAGGGTCTTGCTATGTAGTCCAGGCTGGGCTCAAACTCTCGGTGATCCTCCTGACTCAGCCTCCAGAGTGCTGGGACGGCAGGCTCAAACCACCACACGTGGCTGATGCTTCTTACATGTGATACACGCATGAACATTTCTAACAGACTCTGGGAAGTGCCAGTGTGTTACTCATAATCGGAAGGTGGCTGTGAACAAACCTATTACTAACGCAAGTACAGAAAGTGCTGGGGTTGATGGTTTTACTTCTAGTTTCCTGGCTTGCTAAAGATGCCGTCTTTCATGTGCAGTATAGTAGTGAATAAATTAAATGAGATAGCCCACATCGCATTACAAACCGGGCTTCGTACCAAGTGATGCTGCGCGACGGCACGCTAAGGGTTCCAGGCTTATTCCGGCAATGGGGGCTGAGCTGCGATGAGCTCAGGGTGGGAATGCGAAATGGTTTTCCAACTGCAGTTTCCAAGTCTGCTGGGTCCATCTGAGTTGTTACTCTTACACATCCAGAAGCAGCTGCGTTACTAGGATAAAACACCCAAGAAGCAGATTCCGGCCAGAACCAAAATCACCTGGCTCAGTCTTCACATTTGGGATGATGTATGATAACTGCCGAGGGGCCCAGGACATGGAAGTCACTGTCAGGCCCCATCTTGCCGCCAGAGCAGCCGAGGGGACCTCTCTGTGCTGAGCCTGACACGTCTCTGGGGCACATCAGTGATGGCGTCCGGCCGCGCCTGGCTGCCACATGTTTATTCCCGCGTTTAGGGGAGACTTTTCCCTCCCTTCAAGTCCTTCATCTCTGGGCTCCGAGACCATGGGGTGCCAGAGGGGACACAGGGGCTCAGCCTTGCTTCTGTTCCTCCCGGGGCGGCAGCTTCTCCTTAGCACAGAAACTTACTCTGTGTTTACGGCTCCTCGGGCCACTTTCATTCGGGCAAATCTCTCAGGGAAAGACGGCTTTGGTTGTAAAGGTGAAATTCCACAAGAGGTTGGTGGAAGGCAAGGAAAGAAGGAAAACAGAGAACAGAAAGGAGACAGAGATAGACAGAAAGAACACATACTTTTCCTGTGTAAGAAAATATTCCATGCATTCAAGGCACTCCAGGGGCCACCAAAGAATAATAGTAATAATAATGATACTAAACCAAGTAGAAGAAACCATTCCCACTTTTGGGTCACTTATTTCCTAGCCACTTAGCAGTTTAAGAAATGGAGCTGGGAAAAAAATGATTTTACCTAACAGATCCTGAAGTCTGAACATGGATGTATATTTTTAGCTATGAATTTCGTGTCGTGACTCCCTTCACAGAAATAGGGGACGATTCCCCAACTGCCAGGGACATCTCCCAGCAGAGGCCGGCGTGCAGCCCCCTGTGTCGTGTCCCAGGATGGTACCACAGGACTGGGGCACCCGTGACCCACACGCTTTGGATCGGCCCGGTCCCGGGCGGAGCCCAGCGCTGTGTGGAGAGCACTGCAGTGTAGACAGCGACCTCCGTGGTGCCTGTCCCTGCTGGCTACACACACCAGCCCCTCACGCAGAGCTGACCAGGAACAAGACTGTCGCTGACCCTGAGTGGAGGGAGCCCTAGATGACCAGACACAAATGCGGCCAGTCTGAACCTGACTGGTCCCAGTGACACACACAGCGACACCCAGAACACGGGCACAGGGGAGCGAGGCGACAGTGCGGACTCATGATGTGATGCAGGCCACGTCCGGTCAGGACAGCTGAGAGCCAGGCCGGACCAACCTGGAGGGGCTTTGCCGGGTCCCACAGTGGCCTTCGGCTGCTAGAAGTCTGGCAGCACTTCTGACGGAAGAGGCTGGGAGCCTGGCACAGAGGGGCAGGGAGTGGGCATTTGAGTATTTTTGTAATTGATAGGGTTCTACCAGCAGCCTGTGAATTACTCCCATTCACTGTTATTCAAATTCAATATTCACTGAATCCAAATACACCTTGGAGTCAACCAATCTTAGGGTTTATAAGTATTAGCATGAATCCACTTCGAGATGACAAGTGCAGGCTGGTTGCAGTGCTGCATCCCTATGGGACCAGTATGCAGGAGGCTGAGGCAGGGGGATCCTAAGTTCCAAGGCTGCCCAGGCTAAAAGTGAGTTTAAGGTTGGCCCAGGCTACACAGTGAGATCCTATCTCAAGGAAAAAAAAAAGACAAACTCAACTCTTTAAATAGAAGTTATTAGATCAATGGAACAGGGAATTAACAAACACAATCTCTTACGAATTTTCTGAACAATATAGATGGTGATAGTCATAGGGATTGATGTCACACCAATGAGGTTCCTGGTGGTCTGACCATGGCCGTCACTGGCCTTGTCAAAACTTGAATTCCTGAAGAAGAAGAAGAAGAAGAAGAAGAAGAAGAAGAAGAAGAAGAAGAAGACGACAGAGAAAGAATGCGCAGTGGGCATCTATGACTTTGGCCTGGGCTTCCCGTTGGTAAGAGAGCTCTTTGTTCGGGTGGATTCCACTCTGTGGCTTTTATGAGGTCAACTGGACTCTTCCCAGCACCGGAAACTCTTCATGACCCAGGCCCGGGCAGGGCCCCAGGGGCCACAGAAGGGCAGCCTGGCTCCCAACAGGAGTACCCTGTGGAGGAAGAAGCTCCTTTTCCCTTGGGTTGGGAGCCAGTAGGAGGTGAGTCTCCTGTAGCCGCCATGCTGAGTCCTCTCAGAAGCCCAGGAAGCAGAATCCAAGATGGCGCTCTGGGGCTCTGGGTCTCGGGTGTGGTGGCCCAGGGAATGGAGACTGCCCCTTCCTCTTCTGTAGTTTTAGAGTGCCCATGTTTACATGAAAGGAGGCACACCGATCACCAGGATTTGCTCACCCCACAGCAAGAGCACCATAGGGCAGTAGCAGAAGCACAGTTACCAGGACCATGGTGACGTGGTGTCCAGTAGCTACTACATTAGGAAAAGATTTGGAGAAACATCAACTTTTGAAACATTTTTCTATCTTCATTCTGTATGTTCTGCTCACTGTTGCTAGTTTAATTTAAAAAAAGAAAATTAAATAATAAGGATAAATAAGAATTTGAGTGAAAAGTTTTGAGAGAAAAGTTTTTCTTTATATTTCAAGGAAAATTATTAAGCAATAAAAATAATGGTAGACATATTTTAAATGGTGATTTTCTCTAACCTCCCCTTTATACTTACATTAATCATACTTTAAATATTATTTCATGTACATTTTCTTAAGAGCTCAAATGCATTGTAAATCTGGTGGCTCAACTTTGATCTTTCAGGAAGTGATTAATAAATTCCTGATAACATTCCAAGTGATTCGGGTTGCCTTATGGTGCATCGAAGAGTAAGCACAGGGTGGGTGGGGGGAACCCAGGACAGCCTTTCTCCCAGCAGCCTCTGGGGCCGGGGACAGCATCATGGGTGCCCAAGGCTGAGGCAGCATTGCCACTAGCTGAACAGAACAGGCCAGCACGAGAGACAGAATGTGATTTTTTTTGATGATTAGGGGAGTTAATTTCCATCAAGACATTTTATTAAAGTGTTTCTCCGATACAGCAGTCAGAATCTTCAAAAGGGACAGAACAGAGGTACAATCAAAACTTCTACAGCTTAAACCTCTTAGTCCTAAACCTGAGTTAAGCAAAGCAAAGCAAAGCAACTTTCCTCCAAATTAAATGGGTCTCCAGTATGTCCATCGAGTTGAGCTTTCAGAGGCAGATGCTTAAGGCTTAATCCATAAGCCATCTGTTGGCTATGGTTAGATTAATTATGCCTGAAGAGCTTAATACCCATCCAAGTGCGAAGGTGGAAGCACACATACACCGGTATGGTGACAGGCAAGAGCAGACTGTAAACGCAAAGGCTGGCTCTGCTAGCGCAGCCCTGGGGGAAGCTTTCCTGCACAGAGGTGGAGAAGAAGAGTCCTAGTAAGGAGATCAGTGGAATAGGAACAGTCAGTGTAGGCAGAGAGAAACATTCTTCTTCCCACTTACTACCCACCACCATGTTTTAAATTGTATACAGTATTACAAAAACCTAGTTGTGTTTTTCAAACGATGATTCAGTGCTGCTCTGTTTCTTCTTGCTTCTGATTTTGATGTTGTTCTAGCTGCTTGTGGTATCATATTAGGAATCCCACCAACGATCAGATCAGCTGCTCTCAATTCTTCATTCATCAATTCATTTGTTGATGCTTCGTATCAGAGCGGCTTCTTGGAGAGCGGGCACACCAGGAACCCCAGCGGTGCGGGTTGAAGGTGCGGGGCAGCTCCTCCGCTTTCTCGTGCAGACCTGCCGAGCGCTGAGGTGATCCGCTGCTCGCCGCACTCAGCATGGTCTACACCCGCGAACGCACTCTCTGGGCCTGCCAGAATGTGCTGTTAGGGTCACACGTGTGGAAAAGGGCCAAGCCACCAAAACCCAGAGAGCCGGACAGAAGGATGAAACAAAACGAACCCCATGACGTTTTCAAGGCACACGCGTGGCACCTTATACTGCTCGACAGCCGTGTTCCATGGACATGCAGAGGTGGCGAGGAGACTCGGGGATCCCAGGGGACTGCGGAGCAGGGCTTTCCAAGCGGTCCGGAACAGGCCTGCCGTTAGGGACCGAGCCACTGGGCACCCGGTACCAGGAAGGCGCTAGTGTGCCTAGCTCCAACAGCCCCGGCTTCAGGAGGCCTCCTAGAGGCTCAGTAAACACCAGCTGGAAATACGTTCTGTTACATTTAAGAAACTCTTCATTCTTTTTAGTCCAAGTTTGCAGTACCTGAGTACACTCCTCGAAGGCACCACACCTCTTCATTCTTTTTTCTCCCTTTCCCCTCCCCTCTCTTCTCCTCCCTCCACCTCTTGGTCGCTTCCCTTTTGCAAAAGATCTACCTCCCCGTTTCCTATTATCTATCTTTTATTTTGCTCTTTATTTATATTTTGGGTTTCTAGGAATATTTATGCTTGTGTGTCTGATGGATTTCACTTAACATTATGTTTCCAGGTGCATCTGTTTCCTACAAATGACTCAAGTTTATCCTTCTCTAGAGCAGAGTAGTACTCCATTGTGTATGAATTCCATGTCTTCTTTAATGTAATTTCTTTTTTTCTCAAAAAGCGGCCCCTAGACCAGCTGAGTCAGCATCACCCAGAAACTCGTTAGAAACGAAGATTCCCACAGTCCTTGGTGACACTGGATCAGAAGCCTGGGCACGGGGCCTGCAGCTCTGCATCCTGACAAGGCCCGAGGACCCCGACCTCCCCTTTCTGGGTACTGGGGGTTGAATCCAGGACCTTCACACTGAGCTACCCCCAGACCTTTTCGGTTGCTCTTCTTGTCAAAACCCCTCCTACACACTCCAGTTATCTTTCTAAAGGGTAAGGGAGAGCATGTCCCCCTTTCAAAATAAGAAAATATTTCAAAGCTGACAAAACTGTAAAGATCAGGGTAAAACAAATGAAACCCATGTCTCCGTGGCTTCCTGTCGGCTAACGCTGAGTTTACCGGGCCTTTCCTTTCTGACTGCAGCCTCTCTTCCTCTCTGCAGACCCTTTGCTCCATGTGGAGCAGATGAGCCCCTCTCTTCTCGCAGGCTTGCTGCTCTGCTGTCCCTGCAGGGCCGGCCGCATCCTGCTCCCCCCAGATTCACACCCCCAGCCCCTGCAGCCCCGGGCACGGAAGTCTTCGGGTCAGGCCTGAGCCCGGCGCTCCTGCTCAGGGCTCGAAACTGCTGCTGCGCGGGCCGCTGAGAACAGCCAGAAGTTGGGGTTTTCAGCCTACATTTCTCAATGTAAAAAGCTTGCAGCAAATATTGAAAGATCGAAACGCTCTTGTGTACCTCTGTGCGTCTGCCAAGTAAAATCCATCTGCGGGGGGCGACTTGGACCGTGACCCCGGGGCCACCAGCTGTGCGCGGTCATAGTGGCCGACCCGGGGCCCAGACCGCAGGCCAGGCCCCCACCTCCGCAGCCCTCAGCTGCACCAGCCCCGCTCGGCTCCCGAGTCCCATTCTCCTACATCGGTACTGAGATCAGATCGGGTAAACCGCGCTTCCACAAGGATGCAGAGGCAGGTGCTGAAGCGCGAGAGTCGGCGGCGGCCGCTCCACTGCGTGCTGGCCGCGGTGAGGCCCAGAGCGCGTGCTGCTGGTGAGCTGAGAAACGACTCTAGTCCAGGGCAGACCTGCTCACTTGGGGAAGTAAGGAAAACGTGCTCATTTGCTCCGTGTGTTCATCTCAAATGCGACGTTTTCCCACTTCACAAGAGCACTACAAAAAGTCAGCTTTCATTTTTGGTAGTCATGAAAGTTGGAGTCACGGCGGCCTCCAAACAAAACCAAGTTGGCCTGGGCTTGGGGGAGGGGCTCCGCTCACTGTTCAGTAAACGAAAACACAGGAAGCTGCACCCTGAAGCAGGCTGTCTCCTCCTCACCGATGGGAGGCACACACGCGCTGCGTGTACCCGGCCGTGGTGGCCCAGGGCTGTGCCCAGGGCCCCGTCGCCACCTGCGGTGCCCACGCACCTGAGTGCTGTTGCCAGGATGCAGCGTGAAGGCCGCGCGCTCGCCCTGGGAGGGAGGCCCGGGTCAGGACCCAGCCGCACTCCAGCCCGCAGGGGGCAACCCTCAGTCTCCGGGTGCAGCGGCCCGACCCACCTGCACACGCAGCCCTGCCGTCCGCGGCCCGCGTGGGCAGCGACGGCCCGAGAGGTTTACCTGCAGGCTGTTGAAGACGACGAAGAGAATCAGCATCCAGAAGTGTCTGTAGGCCACGTGCAGGCCGCCCCAGAGCCACGTCAGCGAGATCAGGGCGAAGAGGTACAAAATCAGGGGGATTTCTAGAAGTCACAGAAGGAAAGAGAGGGTGAGCTCAGAGACGCGCACAGTCGCGCATTCACACGCACCCGTTCTTGCTGCTTTCTTGTGACTGGTTTTCCACTGCCGAGGACTCATGGGAGGGACTGGCTTCGGAAAACCTAATCTCACTGAGGGGAGGGAAGGCCCGGGGAGCTCAGGCTCGGGGCTTTTCAGAGAGATCTGCGGTTGGCCCAGCCTGGGAAGGAAGCTGCTCCTCTCCTCGCCCGCCACCTGCTGGCCTCTGCAGGAAGTACCAGGAACAGCTCAAGCGCCAATGGCCTTCAAAGTGGAAACGCAGGCAGCCCTATGCTTCCCAAATGCCATGTTCTGATCACCCATTTAAAACTGGAAACTACACAAAGAACTCTTTGAGTGGCAGGAAACAGGTATTCGCCTTTTAAAAGATAATTCTGACTCAGAAGACATCAAAATTGATCATGAAGGTTAAAGCAAAGGCGCAGGGTGACTCACTGGCATTTGCTTGGATGACTTTCACAACAGATTTCTTCAGGGCCAATGGACTTTATTACCATTTCTGTTTGTGACTTTCCTTTGGTATTTGGGTTTTATAGTAACTTTTTAGTTTTTTTTTTCTGGTACCAGGAATCAAACTCAGGACTTCATGCATGCCAGGCAGGTGCCACACCACTGAGCTACAGGTTCTGTGTGTCCTTGACTTTCTTGACTCTTGTAACCAATAATCCTGATTTTTCAGCTTCACTGGATTAAGAAATGCCTAGCAGATTAGTGAAACATGCTCCTGGGTGTGTGGGTGGGTCACAGAGACACGACTGGTGTGACATATGATCCCTCAGCCTTCCCCTGCTCTGCATCCTGGTTGCCTCTAGGTGAGCCACTTTCCTCCACTGTGCCCTCTACCATGATATTTTTGCCTTGGCGCTGCCTGACCACAGACCGAGTGAGTCCCTAGAACCACAAGCCAAATTAAACTTCTGTAAGTTGTGGATGTTGGGTATTTTGTCACAGTGACAGGAAAGTGATTAACAGAGAAAAACTGGTACTAGAGAAGTAGAGTCATTGCTGTGACTGTAATTGACTGGTTCAGAAGTCCTGGAACTGGGTTGGGGAGGAATTTGGAAAAGTTTGGAGATACCAGCTAGAGAAGCCCTAGAATACTGTGAGAGGTGCTTGAGGGGGGTACTGGTCAGAGGTCAGAAGACCAGGATGCTGATAGGGATGTGGACTGTAAAGGCCAGCTCAGGAGATTTCAAGTGGGAACACGGACTCCACTTGAAGTTGGACTCAAGGCAATGTGTGTTATGCTCTGGCACCAACACTTCCAAACAACTCAACACTATTGGCTTAATTCTAGTTTTCTCTTTTCCATATATTGTAATGACTTTTTCGGTCAGTGAGAAATCTGTTTCTCTTTCTCTGTTTATTTTTTTTCCAGTACTGAGGATTGAACCCTGGGCATTTGAACTGAGTTACATCCCTAGACTTTTTTGAACTTTTATTTTGAGACAGGTTCTTGTGAAGTTGCTAAGTTGTCCAGACTGACCTCACACTTGGAATCCTCCTGCCTCAGCCTCCCAGAGTTCTGGGATTGCAGGTGTGGGCCACCACGCTTGCTCACTACTCTTAATTTATTTCCCTGTTTGGTCAATTCCTCAGTATGTGACCACTGTCCCATTGCATCATTTCTCCCTTGCACGCATGGCCTTCCACACTCAGGTTCTGTCACTTCCTGTGCATCTACACCTGTCACTCACAAGCTGCCTCCTTACAATGACAACAGAACTACTACTTGACCCACCTGTACCACTCCTTGGTACAGACTTGAAGGAATTAAAGACAAATACTATGGAGATACCTGCATACCCATGTTTATTGTAGCACCATACACAATAGCCAAGATACGAAACCGGCCTAGGTGCCCATCAAAAGATGAATGGATAAAGAAAATGTGGTGTATACACATAATGGAGTATTACTGTGTCATAAAAAATGAATTTTTTTCCATTTGCAGAAAAATGGATGGATCTAGATTGTAACATTATCATAATGAGCAAAATGAGCCAGACTCAGAAAGATGAATAGTCCATGTTCTCCCTGATACATGTATGGCATCTAAAAAAATGACTAGAGAACAGAACGTAGACTATCTTACTTGCTTCCCTCATTGCTGCTGGGCCAAAATACCTGACACCTACAACTTTAGGAGAAGTTTATTCTGGCTCACATTTCAGTCCCTAGTCAGCTACCTCCGAGGCCCCCACAGAGGGCCTGGTGGAGGAAAGCTGTTCACAGCAGGGCCACAGCAAGCAGGGAGAGCGAAGGGAGGAGCAGGAGATGAGCCCTTCCGGGTCACGTGGCCAGCGAGCAGCTCTCCCAACCAGGGCTGGCTCTAAGCAGCCAGTCAGCAGTAACGAAAGCCTCACCTGGGAGCACAGGAGGCTCTGGGGGCCTCTGGGCGTAAACCACAGCAGGCACTGCTACTAGATAGGAGGACCGGAAGAAGGGTCTGCAAGGGGGGTGTGAATGTGACCCAAATACACCATGCACAATGAATCTCCCCCACATGAGCAACTGAGGTACGGGGAGGAAATGACTACAGTATGTTATGTGCCAGGACAAATCTGCCAAAATGAAACCATTAACCCTTATAACCAATATGCACTAATTAAAAATGTGGAAAAAATAAAATTAAAAAATGAAAATTATTTTTAAACCATAAAGAAAAGCCCCACATTGGGATAGCCCTTCATGTCCATTAGGATGGCTGTTCACAGAAAATCAGAAAGTAGGAAGTATGAAGACATCACTTTGCTCATTCCTGATGGGGATACAGGAAACCCGTTGGGTGCCTCAAAGTTAAGCACAGAATTCCGTATGACCCACGAATCCCACTTCTAGGTGTGAACCTCAGAATCTAAACACAGGCCCCGAGGCAGATACTGTCACACCAGTGCACATGGGCGTGTCCCGCACAATAACAGCCCAAATGAACAGGACAAATGTCCACCCACAGATGAGCAGATAAACACACTATGGCGTGGACAGCTCCACACTCAGTGCGACGGCGGCGCCCCTGGGAAGGGCCCGGCCTCCATCGCAGGACAGTAGCCTGGCTCTTCCCACTTGAGGACACAGAAGGAGACGGCATCTGTGGCCCAGAAAGGGGGCCTCGCTGACACCATGCTGCCGCACCCTGAGCTTGAGCTCAGCCTCAGCGCCCTGAGAAGGAGGCGCTGCTGCCCTGGGATGCAGACCAGCGCCTCAGTGCAGCAGCCCGAACGGACCCGGGTCCTGGACAGCAATGAAACCCTGACGGTTGCTGCAGCAGGGCTGAGGCCTGAAAATATTTTGTTAAACGAAATAAGCTGGACACAAAAGGACAAATGATTTCATTTACAGGAAGGCAAATGTAGCCAGGGATATAGCGCAGTAGCACCACGCCTGCCTCAGAAGCACAAGGTCCTGAGTTCGATCCCAGGTACAAAAAGAAAGAAAAAAGAATAAGCAAATGCTTAGAGCAGGGAGTGAGACAGAGGGTTACCAGTGCTTGCCAGGAGGGGAGAAAAGCAAGTTAGTATTGATCAGATTTCATGTTTCTGTTTGCTCCGATGAAAAAGTGCTGGAGATGTTTGACGGTGGCAATAGTTGTGCGGCCCTGTGAATGTATTTGATAATTCTGAACTGTACACTTAAATTTTATGTTACGTATATTTCACTACAACTAAGAAAAAGGAAAAAAAGACTATATATGAAGTCAGGCTTGTGTCAAGATGAAGTTCTACTATAGGGAGAAAAAAACCCCAAGCCATCAAAGCACCCAACTAAAACACTTAAATTAACAAGGAGTCACTAGTGTGAAAAACGAAATAGTCTGAAATGGTATTAGTAGCAGAAATTACCTGTAGAAAGGAAAAAACCAGAAAATGGCTGTTAGTACTATGATTACCCAGAAAGTCCTCATGAAGTGGGTAGATTTCATTGAGAATATATCCTACCTCTTTTTTTTAGTGGAAAATATGATTTCAATGAATCTAATTGCCATTTTTTGAGAAAGCACAGTGCTACAGTATCTGTTTTCTTTATAATTGCCACCTTTAAGCTATACACCAGCGACAATAGCGGCTTTATTGTGGAAATCACACCATTTACATGAGGCTGCAATTTATTCGGTGTTTACAATCTTCTAAAGCACCCGCTTTAATGGCATCTGGCTGACCTCCTGATTTTAGCAATTTGGGATGTGCTACTAGAACAAGCTCATCAGCGTAAAACAAGGAACACACTGTGAAACGGGGTGGAACTGAGGTGTTTCTGGGTCAACTTCCAACAACAGGCACGCATAACTTGGACCGGGGATTTAGCTCAGTGGTTCCAGCGCCTGCCTTGCAATCGCAAAATTGAAATGAAGGTATCTAGAGGCGTCGTTGCTAAGACATGGGTCCTGGTCCTGAGTTAACAGGCCGTCGCTCCGGGCTCTGCCCTGCTTCTTGGGGAATCCCCGCGTGTTCCAGGCCTTCCTGATGAGGCTGACCGCTACCTTCGCGACAGTCCCACGGAGTCGGAGGAAGCCTAGCGCTGTCCAGCAGGGACGGAGGCAGCGGGGAGCCCGGGCGTCACAGAGCTGCTGGTCCTGGCAGCACGTGAGGGGCCGTGGATCAGTCTGCACCCCGCTCCGGGAACCCCGCCGCCCGCCCGGATCTACTGCGCCCCGACCTCCAGTCGGTTGCCGTCGTGGGCCCGCATCTCAGTTTCCTTCGCACTTGGGCACCAACCGTACACCTCCCAACCCGCTGGGCAAGTCCCACCCCCACACCTGCACTGCGCACTCTGCCGCCCCAGTCCCTCTGGCTCCCCTTTCCTGGTTCATGTTCTCACACACGCACGCTACATCGGCCCTGTGCCCCGTGCTCTGCCCGCGTGGCCGGCTAGGGAAGGCCCGGGGCCCGGGCTCGCTGGCGCTGCAGTCCAGGAGGGCGCTTCCGGAAGGCAGGCGCGTCCGAGT